CTCTGGTGTGGAGCAAGCAGAGCTTAAGTGAGCAGTGATGCCAGCCCTAGCCTCATATGTGGGGGTGGGAAGGGGAGGGAACAGAGGAGGCTTGAATAAGCAGTGACCCCAGCCTCACAGTCTGGGGGAAAGAGGGTCAGCAAGTGTCTCGGGCCACTGCACATGGAGGGGGAGAGCTAGATCCACAAAATGTCCCATTTTCCCTTGGTCATCCTATACAAACTCCAGTCAAAGGACTCTCCTTTCTGCACCATAGCTGTAATCAGTGGATCTTGGTATCCAGCCACACCTTTCCACTGAGTCCTTGTTGCCTTCTTTAGACTAATGAAGATCGTCTTTCTTCATAAAATTCAGAAGTCAGGAGATTTGCAAAAAGCACAGATCAGAAACTTTTATTGATTGAGACTTCACTGCTTCTTTACTCAGCAGGAGAGCAATCATGGCAACAACAAAAAACCTTAAAAGAAACAAAAAAGTATTTCCATTGCAAATAATATTAATCCTTCTTTTCTCTGTTTCCTTCCTAGTGCAGTGTTTAATAATAATAACAACAGTAATAATAACAACATCCTTTCCTCTTTGTTTCTTTCAAAGTGCAGAGTCAACTCGTATTCTCCTCTTTGTCATCTGAAAGAAGAAACACAAAGGAAAGATCAATCGCAGGACACCCTGTGGAAAAGTCATCTTGAGTCAGACTTGGTCCAAACTTTTTACAATTTCAAAATTTTGACATTTCAATATTAGACATGAATGCCTCTGAAAAACCAAACAGCTGACCCAAGAACATATTTGATGACATTTTCCCTAGATTTTTGGCCAATTACAAGTCAGTCCTTTTTTTTTATTTAAATACTTTTAAAACGTAAAATTTAGAAAATAATAGTTTTGCAAACTTGTTCTTTTAACCAGCTCTCCCCACAGGAGAGGTAGAGCTATTTGTGTAAAGTAACTTCAAAATAATAAGCCAAGGGTGGCTGCCCAGAGAAGCCCAGTATGATCGATGTCATATAGAGGATTCACTCTGGCAGTCTCTCAGACTTGCCTTCCTCTGCACCATCATCACCCAGGTGCATTCACATATCAACTCCAGAGATCAGACCATTCTCACTCTCACACTCACTCTCACATGCTCTCTCACACACACACACACCGTCTCTCTCACTCACTCACACCCGCTCTCACTCTCTCATTCTCTCACTGACACTCACTCTCACCAACTCACACTCACTCTCACCAACTCACACTCTCGCTCACGCATGCTCTCTCTCATGCTCACACTCTCTCTCTTACGCACTCCTTCACACACACACACACACACACACTCTTGCACTCCCACTCTCTCTCACTCATACACACACACACACACACACACACACACACACACACACACACACACACACACACACTCTGATTCTCTTTTTTCACCACCTGTACAAAGCTTCCCCAGTCAGAACCCAAGTCAGGAGAATACCAAGAAGGTGTGCCCATGGAAACACAGGACTCATCTTTAAATACCCTGCACCAAATTCACATCACTTTCCATCCAGGAGATCCCCTGGGAGTATCTGCCCTATATTCCGAACCACAGGAACAATCACAGATTCCACAACTGGTGTAATTTCCCTGTGCAGCCCAGGAGCGGCCACCCTTCCCAACTACCTTACAGCTCTGGTCACAGATGTCTATCCAGGGGGCTCTGCCCATTTTAGAAACGCCTTCCTCATCCCCTCTTCCCCACCACAAAGCCTACGAGACCTTTCAATTACCAGTAGCATTTTCCTCCTCCTTGACAATGCTGCTGCTGCTGTTCTCTGGGTCCTCTCTTTCAGCTGCTGCCAACTGTGGTTGGTGGTTCTGATAGGAAGTCTGGTCTGATGCTGGCATTGCTCTTTGGTTTTCAGTAAACACCATCGATCCTGATGTTCCCCCTCTGGGTAGCTGAAGAAAACATGGAGTGGGCTGCATACCAGGGTTCTGAGTGCAGGGAACCTGCTCTGTAGAG